TTGGAGGATGCAGTTAGTCTTTAGTCACCTACCAAGCAAACCCAAACGTGTCCTTCCAGCAGGGCTTTAAATAGCTGCCCAGCCTGGGGGCCCATTGTTTGATAGCTCCAGTGTGAATTCTGAAAATAGGAGGTTTTGACAGGATTTCCACTTTTGGAGGAGTAGGAAATGAAATCATCTTTTAATAAAGCTCTGTTTAGGGGTGTTGTGTCTCCATGTAAGGCCTTGTAAAACAAGAAGCCAGAAGAGTTGTGCTGCTGCCCTTTTAACTGCACCCCAGATCACAGTCACAGGTAGCAATTTGATGGACAGGTCTGAGCTGTACATTAATTTATCTGCTAATGACTCGCAGCTGAGAAATCCCCCCCCCCCCCGTTCTCATACTCATTGATCTGCATCACTACCATGTAGAGGAAGCAGTGCTATCATGCTGATACATCTCATCTCTTCAGGAATAAGAGCAGACAGACCAGAGCACCATGTCTTCATTTCTCATTCTCATCTTTACCCCAGAGCAAGCTTCATAAAGTGTCCCCATTCATTCCCAGTAAGGAACTCTTCAGTTGAAGAGCTGTTATCTCATTTAAAATTATTTTTAAAGGGTGTTTGAATGTATAGAAGCAGAATTAGTTGTTGTATCCATCCCTGCATAGATAGAAATAGTTTTTTAATTTCTATATTTTTCCTGCAATATGTTGGTATTTCTCAAAACAGCTCCAGATCAATAATTGTTTCTAAGCTGGATTTAAAGTAACTGAGGAGCAAAAGGACAAATGATATAAAATGCAATGTTGCTGGAGTTAGGGGATGGATCAGTTGACTTCTATCACAGACAGCATACAAATGGCCACATTTGACACTGTGGCAAAAAAATAAGAGTCAAAAAAGGAAGTGTAACCAGGCAGTCTGAGATGGCAGCTAGAGAGAAACACTTAAGTTTGTGAGGAGAGTTAAAACTTGAACAAGGGTACTGCTGGATGGTACAAGCATGACAGAAATTGAGTATTTCATCAATTCTGTTGTTATTTGGCCAAAGGCCCTGATTTCTGGAGAAGACTGAAGGCAATCAGAAGGGTTGCTGGGCAGTATTGTGCCCCTGATGGCTTGTAAAGCATGGAGATTTTTCATCCCTTCTCTGAGGTGCTCTTATCTGTGTGATTTATTCAGTTACATGTGTTTTCAGCCTATGGAAATGCAAACCTTTGTCAATGGGCTCATTGCTCTTCCTGACTGTTGTGGTTTAACCCCAACCAGCAGCTCTGCCCCACACGGCTGCCTCTTGTGCCATGGGGAAGAGAATTGGAAGAGCAAAAGTGAGAAAACTTCAGAGCTGAGATAAAGCCAGGTTAATGGATAAAGCAAAAGCCACATGCAAACAAAGCAAAACAAGGGATTAGGTCACTACTTTCCATAGGGATGCAGGTGTTCAACCATCCTCAGGGCAGCAGGGCTCCATCACATGTAGGGAAAGTTTCCTCCCTCTTTCCCCAGCTCTGTACACTGACATTGGGATATCCCTTGGGTCACCTGGGGTCAGCTGTCCTGGCTGTGTCCCCTCCTAGCTCCTTGTGCCCCAATCCTGCTCACTGGTGGGATGGGTGAGAAGGAGAAAAGGCCTTGGTCTGTGGAAGCAATGCTCAGCAAGAAGGAAAATATGCCTGGTTTATCAAAACTGTTTCCAGCACAAATCCAAAGCAGCCCCATGCTAGCTACTGCAAAGAAAATTAACTCTGTTCCACCAGAATACCAAAACCAACCCACTGACACAACCAGAGTTTTTTCTTTTTCCCCTTTCAATGCTGGACATTTTTCTGTTCCACATCTAGGCAGGTGTGTGAGGGGGTTTCAGCAGTCCATAGTGGATGGACAGAGGTGATGGCACCACCCTGATGGCTGATAACTGCATAACTTGGTGCTTAACCCATAGTAGGAAAAAGCCCTGGTGTCTGCCAGAGGGAGCAGAAAGCTGAGGCACATGAGCAATACTGGCTGTTCTGGCACTGCCTGGAGCTCTGTGTGACTGTGAACAAATTACTTTACCTCTTGAAAACAGATTTGGTTTTGCAGTGATAACTATGTACCTCCTGAGAGTGCCAGAAAGCTCAGCTCCCTTCTGGTCGTGCTCTGGGACAAGGGCTGTACAAGTTCAGGTATTAGTCCAGGCCATTGGATCTTTGATGTGGTGAGAAGTGTTGCCCCACTGATGGTTCCTTCAGAAGGTTCCTGTACTGGGGACATGTTTGCTCACACTGTTCCAGCAGCCATTTCAAAGCAGGGGGGCAGAGACCTCTTGAGCAGTTTTTCTAGTATTGTCTGCTCTTGTTACATCCTGGCTCCCCTTTCATTTGAACTGCTTGCCAAAAGTCAGAACCTGTCCCATGTTCTTGCCCCCATGTCTGACATCTTCTTAGATGTGAGGAAGCACAACATCAAAGCACTGCAAGCTGTTGCCCTTCTGAAGAACATTCCCTGGGGTTTAGCATGATGCTTGTTTGATCCTGTTATATAAAAATGGACTGTCAGGTCTGTCATTTTTCTCTTCTAGGCTGCATATTCAATATCTGGGGAAATTTCATTAGAATCTTTGTTGTCCACAGGTCAGGACATGGTCTTTTTATCACCTTCCCTTGTGTTGCCTTTTGCAGCTGGTGTTTAACACACGCTCAATCCAAGGGAACTTTGTGTACATCCGTGGTGTGCTGCTTTAAGGAGACCACACGTCTTGACAGAGGTTCCTGTAGTTATTGTCTCAATGGAGGAGCCTTTGCTGTCCCACAGCAGAGTTGTTTGGCATTGTGACAAGGAAGTGACTGTCCCAAATGGTTTCTGTGTAGCTGCTCGTGGGCTATTTTGGCTTGTTGCTTCAATCCTGAAAGTCTGCTGGCAGAGTAGTTGTATTCTAGGTTATTCTGCAGATGGGATTCTTATGGGAATAGGCAGAAAATATTCTTTAAAAATGGAATAAAAGGTTTAGCTGTCCTCATGCTATTAAGAAAGCTTTTACTGTGTTTGTTTTTTTTAAACTCTGCATTCTAGCAACCTTCCACTGCTCTGAGTTAGGGAGAACCCAGCTTGCAGGATTTGAGTCAGCTCCTATAGGCTGGCACAGTCCTCTCACAGTGTGCATGGAGATCCCTTTTGTGGAGGCTGGAAACAAAATTAATGTCTTACCTGCACTGTGTTTGACATTCTTAGGAAGATCAGCAAAGCAAGAAGGTGTGGGGGCAGTCATGTGCAGTTCTAAATGGCCTTAAAGGCAAGTTCCCTCAAAGTTGGATCATCCTCCCCACTTCTCCCTTGAGCATTTGGGGCTTTTACTGTGAGGATGAGCAGAATCTGTGAATGGATTCCATCTGGGCAGTTGAGTACTAATACAATAATGTATTCAAATGCACATGCAGTATTTTCAAGAGCAGTAGAAGTTCTTCCTACCCCTATTCTTCAAAACAACAGAACTAGTAAATCTACTCCTTCAGCTTTCATATCATCCTATTGCTAATAGGTATCTGGTGCTGGAAGGAAAGTCTTCTCACCTTTCAGCTTCAGAGCATCCTGGTTGTATTTGGGCAGTGGCAGCAACATCCCTGTGTGTTTTCCTCCCTTTCTCCACTTGCCTTTGATACCTTTCCAGCTGCATTTGCTCTCCTTAGGAAGCCACAGCCTCATCTCTGACAATTTTGGTGTTACCCGCAGTGTCCTAATAGCAGTTTTGACCTTTCAATTAACTTCAGGATTGCCTCTTTCAGAAGACAAAATCTGTACAGATGCCAGAAGCCTCAGAACAGATTTGTGAGGTTGGCTGCAAGACCATGAAGATTAGGGACATATTTTCCCTTTTGTCAGGGAAATCAACAGCAAAAGGCCCCAACACAAGAAGGAAACTTTCCCACTGACCACAAATAGGGGTTTAAATTGAATTTTCAAGGCTTTAAAAATAAATTGTCATTTTGTATTTAATTAATCAGGGTTTTGTGAATGTGGTAGTATGTTGAGGTCATGGGCAAAAAAAAGCTTTTCCAGTAATTAGTGCAGGGTCCATGCTGTTCTGGCAAAAACAGCCATGACGTCAGTCTGAGGCTGGAACAAGAAACTGTACCACACAGTGAACTTGAAACACAAACCTTATTATTGAAGGGGCATGTCTGACAACTACAAGTTCTGGTTGTGTTGGACACATAGTATATTTTTCCTTTTAAAATTCCCAAAAGGTGTTTGGTTTGGTTTGCTGTTTAGGTTTTTTTTCTCCTCAAGTTTCTGAGTCAATGAAATTGCTGCCATGCCTCCTTTCTCCTGTTTCCCTGCCTTAAATAAATAATGAAATTACCGGACTTCCAACCCTCTTGTTTTGTAAATATGGAAAGTGACCATTTCCATGTTTTTATTTAGCAGAAGCAGCTTAGTTTTTAGTTTTGTTATGTGAACCCAAATGCGAGGGGCAGGTGCAGCAGTGAGCACACACAGGACATGCCCAGGCAGGTCTTGCTCTGGTAGCCATGTAGACCTTTGTTTTAGGTGAAATTTCAATGTTTTCAGTGCAAACCAAGTATTGAGACAGCATTTGGAGTATGTAGTTTTGCAGCACTCAGATTCTAGTTTCTGATGAGTTACTGGAGTCCTGTGGAGCTGCAGAAGAAAAATTTGTCCATATAACCTGGCTTTAGGTATGTTAGCAAAGTCTTTTACTTGAATTACTTAAAACTTGTCAGATTGCTTGTTGCTGTATATAAATAGCCTGGGTGGCTTATAGTTCTTAGCTTATACTGGGACAGAGAAGAGTTTTACATATTTTCCTTTTAAAATCTATAAGAAATATTTATCTCTGATGATGCATATAAATTCCAAAGACAACATTATTTTAGAGTTGTGACCCTCAATAACTTGGTCTTATTTGATTTAATGCAAAGAGTGTGTGTGTGTGTCAAAGGATTTGCTCAGTTGTGTTTCCTAAGCCCATGCAATTTTCCTTTTTTTTTACCATTTGTCTGAATTTTGTTTTGCAGGCCATGACTGCTGTGAGACAGTGAAAGTGGCACTTTGTGCCTCTAGAGAAGGTCACCCCATTCTGGTTGTGGCAGAGGAGAGTTTCCAGTTTGTCCAGGATGAAGCCTATGATGCCGCCCAGTTTCTGGCCACCTGTGCTGGCAACCAGCAGGCGCTGAATTTCACACGGTTCTTGGACAGGTCACGGCCACCAGCTGCAGACGTGGACTTCTTGGATGAGAAAGTGGCCTTGGCATTTCGACACCTGAAGCTGCCGGCAGAATGGAACGTGCTGGGAGCAGACCAGTCCCTGAGCGGTGAGGATTGTGGGGCACAGTGGGATTTGCAGGTTGGGAGGGAGGTGAAAAGCCTGGGAGAAAGGATTCCTGCCTTGGGAGACTGCCATGTACCTTCTCTATGCTCAGAGAGGGGATGTGGTGTCCATCCACATCCCATATCTTGCCCTTCAGCCTCCTTAATATATGTAAGGTATATAAAATATACCTTACATAGATATAAAAAGATATTATTTTATATAAAATATATAAAATATACCTTTCATTGATATAAAAATATCTTATATAAAAATATATAATTTTATAGAATTAAAATTACTATAAATTAATTATAAAATTATATTAATTATATAAATTTTATATAATATAAAATTCTATAAATAATATAAATTTATTATAGAATTATAATAAACATATAGAATTTTTATATAATCAGATTTATAATTAGATATTTATAATAAGATATATATAATTCTATTTTATGTAAAATATATAAAATATAATTTCTATAAAATATATTATATATATTATTTATATGTAAAATATCATATATATATATATATATAGTATATGTAATCAAAAGTCATGATTTTTCCTGCTCATCTCTTAAGAAATAGCATGAGCTGACAGTCAGTATTTTCACATAATAGCCTGAAAATGGCTTTTTGTGTGTGTAACAATGGCATGTGTATCAGCATAGTTCTGTATGCTGATAGAACCCTGTGTGTAGAATATCTGATGCTCCTGGAAATATCCTTGTGCCAGGAATTTGGCATGTGTAGTAAATGTTGGTTTTATAGCACAGGTGCAAAATGACTGTGACATGAAAAATACATGTGATTTTTCTTGGAAAACTTGAGGCTCTGGCCCTGAGGGTTTATATCATATCCCTGGTTGCACATAGGATGGGTTAACACTGCAGTTCCCCAAAATAAACCTGGACAATTTTGCAAATAAGGGAAGAGTGGGAAAACTTGACCTTTAACCACAGCAGTGAAGGCTACTGAGAGCTTATAAATAAATCCCAAGGCTGGCCCAAGGTCTCTGGTGGCTGCTGAAGCAGAAGTGCTGAGGTGTTCAGAGTGCTGTGGTGTGTCTGTGTCCTTGGAGTTCTGCCTCTTTTGTCACAAGGGGGCAAAAGGAAACACACGTGGGACCAGGAGACTACTTCCAGTATGTACAAATCATTGCTGTAAATTTCCAGGGTATTTTGGCAAACAGTTTCACTTCAGGAATGCGACTCTGAGGCATCTGTTATCTTTTATAAGATGCAGTGGCACAAACACTTGAATAGGGCTGGGATGTGACTTGCTCAGTTCTGCTCACTGCAACAGGGTTTTCCACAGATTTTCCTGCTTTGTTTTCTCCAGCTTGCTGACTGCCTTTGTAAAGCTCAATACAAGGACAGACAATTCCCTTGTTAGCAGACATTAAAATATTTGATCATATTTAATGGCTCCTTGATAGAAATTCAGCAGCTGTCATACATTTACAAGGAGATAACACTTCTTTTCCTCTGTGTGTAAGTGACTGATGTTTCTTTCTGCATTTGAAAAGTGTTGTGATAATGCAGACATTTCTGGTTTAAGTGATATAAATCATTGTGACTACACAGTGATCTTAACAAAAACTTTGAAACTCTGAATTGTTGCTGATTTTGCAGGAAGGCTGAGATCTAGGTTTTTCTTTTAATTTGATTATTCTTTGGAAAATCAGCACTTAGGGAAACCAGGCCATAAGATTTACATTGGTTTGCTCAGTATGTGCTTGTGTATCTGGAAGTTGTGGTTATGCAGAACTCTGTATGTTATAGACTTGTGGAGCATCCACAGTGAGAAGGGGGAGCTCTGTAGTGCCAAATTCTGTAACTCTTGAGTGTTTTGGCATCTTGTGGTGAGGTGTGTATAGACAGAAATGAATAAATATAATGTCACTAAATGCAAATTTAATTTGAGAATATTAGTGCTGTAAAATATGTTCCTTTTTGTTAGAGGCAGAGTTATCTGGTAGATTTTCTGCAGGGAGATATTTACACATGGGCAATTTGGGGGAATTTTTGTGATTGTGACAGGTAGGATTTGCATACAGAAGCATCCTTTTGGTCATGAAACTCTGTGGGGTGGAAGAGATGTCCCTGGTTTATGATGGAGCGCCAGATTAGAAAAACCTCAGTGCTAAAATATAGCTCCCTTCTACTGGTGCTTGTGTGTTAATTTGTGTGTGGGAGAGAGAAAAGCACTGCAGAGATTGCACTGTAGGAGTGTTTGAACAATTAGGCACATTCTGGCCAGTGCCTGCAGTGGGGACACCCTGTCCTGCCCTGCTTCACTACCTATGAACAGCTACTGCAATTCATGCTTCACATTTCCCTAAATGTCAGCACCAGATAACTTCAAATAACCTTCTCGAAGGAGAAAATACTATAGAAAAGAGAACAAAAGGAAATGTCAGATCCCTTCTTGAAATATGTTTAGTGCTGCCTCTGAGCTGGCACGTCTCTATGGGCTCTTGTGGGCTGGAAACAAAACGCTGCTGTTCAGCAAAACCTCTGAAGGCAGGAGCGAGCTGGGAGCCTCCAAGTGCCACAGCCTGATGGGGAACTGCTGCTCAGAGGAGGCTGCTGTTGTCAAACACGCTCAAAGGTCGATTTTCAAAGGCCTGAAGCAGGAGTCTAACTTTTGCAAAAGTTAGGAAGTAATGGCTTTCTGCAGGCAGAAGCTGGGTGCAAGATCTACCACTGAGCACAAATCCAGGCTGAATTTTGAGGAGGGGGTGGCTTTGTGTGGAGGCTTTTGCCTGCAGCCAGCCCTGGCCAGGCTTTGAGCAGAGGGCAGGGAGTTCAGTGCCGTCTCCCCAGAGGGCAGAGAGGCTGCTGGAAGTTTCATCACCCACCTCAGCCTCCCTGAGCTGCACAGCTGGGGATGGGAGCGCCCAGGATAGCTGACATCAGAGGTGCTTGGGCTCCATTCTCTTACTGGGACTGGCAGAGAGTACTCAGCATTTGGTAGAATGAACTGAGAAGCAGAAAAGAGCCCGGGACAGTGTGTGGCTGGGGAAGAGCACAGTGCTTGAGACACAGCTGTGCTCTTCACCAATCATACACTGTCCCTCCACAGCAAGCAATTCCTGAGCCCTGCTCTTAGTTATCTATCTGTATGAGCTCCAATGGCATCCACAATTTCAGAATATCCATAATTAAGGATTAGTCTTGTTACTGTGGTATTCCAAACACAGCATTTCTTTCAGGTGCCATATAATCATGTCTGTCTTAATAATTACAAGTGCACTGTAACTTTCTAAAGAACATAGTTGTTACTGCTGTCAAAAGTGGGGCTATTTACTGTTCTCAGTGGCATTTAAAGGCAGCTATTTAAATGGAACAGATTGTTACACTTTATGTCTAGAAATCAAAATTTAATATGTATCCTGAGGATGTATGCAATGTAAATACAGGACTGTGATGTTCTATTTTAAATTACTGAAGAGAAAATAAGCTAACTAGAAAACCACAACTGAATATTTTGAGGTATGAGTAATGATTATGGCTTGTTTATGTTGCAGTGGGGTAAAAAAAAGGAGAAAAAAAATAGGGAGGATCTGAGGCTCGGGTATGAAAAGCTTAGAGAGCTTGATTGTATCGCTAGTAAACAGATCACTTTCAAAATAACTTGGGAAGTGATATTCTGACAAAACCTTTGAGCAAACAGTCTTTCCATTTTGCGTATTAAAAGTGAGTGGTGAAACCCAGAGCTGTGGTTGATGTTTGGTTGTGTGAGCTTTCTGAGGTGATGCTTCAGGAGCTGGTTGATGTTGGCAGAAGTTTGCTGTGATCACCATGATATGGAGCAATTCCCCTGGGAGTGTAAGGACTGCTGTGAGATAGTGAGCCAGGTTTTCAAGGAGATAACCAGGAGACCATCAGATTAGATAGAACACTTAACTGATTGCAGTTACTGATATGTTGAATATGTAGAGCTTCCCAGAAGTGCTCTGGGACAAATGCGGTCCTTCAGTAAGAACTGTTTGTGAAATTAAACTCCATGACCTCACCAGGTGGGAGGTGAGTAAAGAGGGAGAATCTCTGCCCTGGTTTGAAATAGTCTGAATGATTATGGGTTTAATAGCTTTATGTACAAAACCAGTAGGATTTCAATGTACAGGACAACGTGAGTCTCACCAGGAATACAGATTGTGAATTGTGGTTTGTTGTTTTTTTTTTTTTTTTTGCATGAAAGGAGAATGTCACAAAAAAACCCCAACATCTAATTTTAAACAAAAAATCCTAAAAAACCTTTTAAAAACTTTCAGAATTTGATTACTAGTACCTAGTCTTTTTTCCCATGGGAAGATACTAAAGTTATGCTACTGATGGTGTATTTCAGACATGAAGCTTTAATCTGTTCATCTGCTGCACTCTTGTTATAGTTTCTCTTGGAACCCTTTCAATGTAATGGTTACAGGTGTTCTTTTGGTTGGGTTTCATATCCTTTCCAGTCTGCTGCTCAGCTTCTGTGCTCTCTGATAAAGGATGGTATGGTATAAATCAACATGATCTGTTCAGTGCCAACAGCACAAAGTGCTCTGTTCAGCAGCAGTCCTTGATAAGATGTAAAAAGCCTTTTCCATACCTAAATTTAGTGCCCTCTGCAGTGGAAAATGGGAAGCAGAAAGCAGTTCTTGTTCAGACAGCATCAGAAATGTGCTGCTCAAAACTGAGATGTATCCTTTATTCTGTGGCCGCGAAATTGTTGGCATGGGAATATTCCTGTTCCCTTTGATATTAGCAGGAATGGGGACATGGAGATCTTTTGGTGTGCTTTGAAAGATTTCTTGTTTATGGGATTAAGAAAGGAGTTACCCACACATCTTTTTATTAAGTGAGCTCATAACTCCAAACACAACATCTTTGCCTTGACCCTTCTGCGGGGCAGTTGTCTGCTGGAGCCTTCCTTCCTCTAGGACCTCAGTGTGAGGTGGCAGCTTCGTTCTGGGATTCTTTACCCTTGCTTCTCAAGGACTGATCTGAGCAGTGAGAACATTTCCAGCAGAAAGCAAGATTTTGGGGCCAGATGTGATAGTAGATTTCCAAATTGCTGAGCGTACATGAGTTTGGGTGAGAACCAAGTAAAGGTCATGAGCACAGAAGACAAAGCAATGCTAGCCCATTCCGTGGCTGGCTCATGAGATGTCTCAGGGCATGGTGCATAAAATGAGCATTAGGTGTAGGCTAGTCTATCTGGAGAGTTATTTTAAAAAAGGAACAGTAGTTTTTGTGGGTTTTTTGTTATTTAATCAGGTTTAAAATGAAAGTTTTTACTTAGTGTTCTTGGGCATGTCATAGCCAAAGTTTTTTTTTTTCCCTTCAGTGCTTATTTGTTTTGTGCTAATAGTACCTTAAACCTTAATCCTTTACTATTAGCAAAGTACATATGACAGTCTTCTATGGAAATTTGGTCCTCAGTTGTGCAGATAAACTGTCTGTTCATGTATCACAGCAGAAAACAATTACACAGAAATAATATATTCAAAGTCTTGTGTTTTGCCAGCTGGACTAGAGTACCCTGCCATTATGGGGCAATAATCATATGTTTCAACTCTTGCCTATTACTAGGAAACGAGAAAGGAACAAAACAATCTTGGCCTTTTCAGTATCGTGTGTCTTGTATTTCCACAATTTCCTAATTACCAGGAGCTTCTTGTTGACATTCAAACGACAGGCATTTTAAGACAAGGAGCTCTTGCTTGGTATGTGGTAGGAGAAGGGGCTCTGGCTTTTGCATGTTAAATGTGTGGGATCTGTTTCCATCTTTCATGTGTGGTACATTTTGCTCCATGACAAGATCATAAAATCATTGCCTGGATTTCCAACATTTTGTGTGGCAAGCTTCATCCCTTCAAAGGTAGGAAGTCTGAAGGGATCTGTCTTCTTCCCCTCTCCATCCAGCAGAATGTCCATACTTGATGCAGACCAGCTCTTGTCTAGTTCTGAGCAACACTAGACACCAACAGATGTATTTTCATTATATATTAGTAGTTAATCCAGCCCACAGATGGCACATGCCTTTTTAACTGTCACCATGCAAGTTTTGCACACTCCAGAACCTTCCAAAGCCATTGCCTGGGGCCCCTGCAGTTGTTGGATGTACAGCACTTTGTCTCTTTGCTGCCATCATCTGTGCCCATCTGTTAGGGTGGCCTCGTGCCAGGTTCTGTGTCAGGCAGAGCCTTCCAAAAGTGGATGGTGAGGCTGTGTGTTTAATATGCTCTGGTGGCAGCATGCCACCTCTTCTTGTACAGATCCTGTGTGCACTCTGTCACTGCCCAGAGGCATCAGGGCAGCGCCACGTTCACCTCAGCTGCATCTGCAGACACCTCCAACCACGCTCTGGAGCTGCCCTGTCCACTGATTCAGTGATAGAGGAGATTGTTTCAACAGAACAGGGAACATTTCTCAGAAGGTGCAGTCATATCAGCAGATTGGGGCAACTGAGGAGGCATTGTGACAACTGGGAGGGGCCATTTCATCTTTGGACATATGAGACAGAGAGAAGCACCCATTTGGCTCAGGGACAAGAGGAATATCTGCCTGCATCTTGCAGAACTTGCAGTTGGCAGTGTGTATTTAGTGGTGAACCATGAGCTGGTGAGCAGAAGATGCTTGTCCCTATTGGTAATGCTCTCAGCTGCAGGAGGAGGAAGCATTTTGGTCCAGGGATCTGTGCTTATGCTTTGCAGGTCTGCACTGCTCAGCTCTGGGGCAAGACTGTCCATTCTAGTTAGATGATTTTTCTTTTCAACAAAGCAGCCATAACAGGAGATCCCATGCGAGAACAGAACATGGTCAGACCAGTGCAACGCATTCTTTATTTGGATGGCAGTTGTTTGCTCTGACAGAAGTGTTTTTGTGCCTCCTGCATCTCTGTAGGAAGAATTACACCACAGTAATTATGTTTGCTCTGCCAGTCAGTGTACAGGTAGTGTGGGAGCTTTGTGCATGTACAAGTTCTCTGAGTAAAACATTGGGTATTTGCTCTGACTCTGAAAAAGTCGTATCTGTATCCATATTTTGCAGCCTCATCAGTAACTTTTTTCTGTGTCTGTCTGTATGCTGTGTTATTTTTCATTTTTCTTTAAATCCAGGGCTGCAACCATTGATTAACCTCCATGTTGTGCTATTTCTAAATCATTACGCTCTGTAACATTTATTACCCAAATCCTTCTCATTACTTAGCCAAAGGCTGAGAATTTGTCTCTGGGAGAGCTCAGCCATTCCCTTTTCTCTGATCAGCTGGAACCTCCATTCAGACACACTTGTGTATTCAGGGCAGCTCGGTTTTGCTTTACGGTAATCAAGAGGAGGTTAGGGGGAAGACTTGGTTTGTAGCCCAGAGACCTAATTTGGAGTCATTCAGAAGAGAAGTGGTGCCAGAAAGCCTTTGGTTCTTGCATACAGATTAGTTCTTCAGAATTGGATCCAGAAAGTTGTGAAAAATTGTGTGTGAGGCAGTGGAGAACTGCCCGTTTTTGCTTTGTTTTGTTTTTCACCAAAGGTCTTAATGATGTCCCTAAAGTAAGTAAATAAGCAAGAAGAACAGCAGCGCTTTGAAGAAGTGACTTCTCTTGGGGCACACTTCTTAAAGACAAAAAATACAAAATTAAATCCTAAAGCCATTATGTGCATGCATTTTAAAACCTGTTCTATAGATTTGGCTGGAACCCAAATTAATAACCCAATAAATCATTCCTGTGATAATAAAGGGTTTATACCAAGCATGCTCATTGGCATGGCTTTCTAAGACCTAGTTGATGCTTTTTTATTGTTGTTGCTGTCAGTCAATACTAAAATCCTTTGTTAATTAAAAGAACAAATTTTTATTTCTTGCAGTTTTTTTAACCCAAATGCTTTTGCCTTTCATACAGAAATAACAAGCTTTGATCTGCAAATGCTGGATTTCAGCAATGCATCTGGAGCTCATTTCTGGTTAAAGCTTTTCAGAGCATCATTCTAGTGCTGCAGCTTTTGGAGTAGGGGGTTATTTTTCTGAGATGAAAGCTCAGGCTCTAGAGTCACTTTTACCAAATTAGAAGGTCACAGTTATTAAATACAAAAAGCATCAGTGGAGATTGGTAGTTTATAAATGCTGCTACTCAGAATGACAGAGCTACTGTATTAAGCTGGGAAAAGCTGGTCTGAGGTAATCAAACCAGGAAAGAAAACCCTTGCTTTTTTTTTTTTTTTTTGTCTATATGAGTTTTTAAACAGTTCTTTTTTATAACTGCTTTGGATATGTACATCAAATGTAATTGTTTTTTCTTTATGCCTTGGGATAAATCAGCATCCTGTTAGGTAACAAAAGTTGTCCTTCCCTAAAACCTGGTCCTGGCTATGTGAGGAGAAGGTTTGGACGTCCAGGAAAAGCCACCTGACCACATTTCTGTTTGGGTGTGCTGGAGCTTGGTGGTGGCTGTGGCTGTTCAGGAAATGGTGGGGTTTTCACATTGACTTCTGTGGTCAATCTCAGCATGAGAGGTCCTGAGCACTCCCAGCCCCACCAAAGCATATCCCTCACTTTACGACTGGTGTCTCCTGCACATTGGCAACCAGGCTGTTTTTCCAGGTGCTGCAGGTTCCTTTGGGCTGTCATCTCCATGCCAGCCGACGTGTGGTGGAGCTGGGATGTGGGGATATAACATTTCCCCTAACCCACAAGCCTACAAATTCCCATTTCTTTCTTTTCCTGCCTTCCCAGAGAACATCCCTCGGGAGACACTGATGCATTTTGCGGTCAGGCTGGGTCTGCTGCGCCTGACGTGGTTTCTGCTCCAGCAGCCGGGTGGAAGAGGAGCTCTCAGCATCCACAACAACGAGGGGGCAACGCCTGTCAGCCTGGCCTTGGAGAGGGGCTACCAGAAGCTGCACCAGCTTTTGACAGAGTAAGGATGATTTGGTGGTTCCTCTGCTGGTTTTCCGTTCTCTACCATGCTTGGCTTTGCTGTATGTTATCACTCAGTGGTGTCTGAGTGCTATACTCCATCCTTAAAGGCAATTTTGGTGTAATTTTCCTTTTACCATTCTTGCTAGCAGCAGTCCTGAGGGTTTAGGGGAAATGCAATAATTTTTTTGGGGGGGTTTTCTTGTTGCTCAATATTCTGCTTCCAGCTGTCATGTAAAGTCCAAAGTCACTGTAATATTGACTAATTAATGCAAATCTTATGCAAACACAAATGAAAAAGTTTTTCTTCAAGCAAGCACAACTGCCCAAAAGAGGGAAGCTAATAGGCATTGTGGTGGTAGTGGACTGTTATATTTTACTTTTTAAAGAGGGAATTTTTTAGTTACATGAAATAGTGATCATTATATTGAAATAAGGCAGCATCTTGAGATGAATAGGCATTTTACTGGGGTAGGTTAAAAAAAGGCAAGAATTGCTGCAAATATTTAAAGGAGAACAGAATATTTAACAGAAGCAGGTCTCTTTGTAAATGGTCTTGAGAAAAAGCCAGGTCTTACAACACATAGCAAGTAACTAGTGGCATGAGCATTTATTGCACTGCTTTACAAGGAATCCTTTGGAAGATGGCAAGTTAGTTTTGAGCAGCAAATGTTTGGAGATCTAGGTTTAATAGCTGAGGTTAATAAAGACAAAGAGCTTAAAAAAATCTCAAGGGGGCTGTTTGTATAGGAGAAAAGATTTAGTCTCCGTGTGTGTTATTCTGATGCCTGGTTCTCTTAAGCTCTGTTATAAACTTTGTCTTTCTGAATTGATTTCTCAGATACTTGGAGTTTATGTTGAATGACCAATGTCATGTTTAGGAGTCTGCTGTGTTGTCCATATTATCACGCAATGTTCCCTGTTAAAGATTGTAAATTCCCTGTTAAAGATTGTAAATTATTCTGCTTTCTGTAGTTGTTGGGTGTAGCATTTTGGGGCAGAAAATATGATCTGTATTGCTGGAGTGATTGCATTTAAGTTTTATCCTTAAATTCAGGCAGCCACTTGGAAAGTGAGGGTAAAGGAGAAGGTGCAGGGTGGGATGGAACCTATACCCAAATATTTTCCTGCCACCTTTGCTGGCATCAGTACAGAGAGGATGACAGTGTTACATTATTCTCCATCAAGATCAATCATACTGTGAAAACACAACTATCTTGTAGGCTATATTGTAAAAATGGGATGTGTAAATTCATCCTGTAATTGCAACAAGGTTCTCCAAGGTGAGACTAACCACATTAACAGGCTTTACATACTGGCAGGAAGCTTAAGCTGGCCAAAACTTGATTATAGAGCTCACCGCAAATACTGCAACCCTAATGGGAGTAAAGCTGGTAATTTAAATAAAATGGGAAGTAAACAAAACTATTACAATAGCTATTCATGTATTTGGTGAAGTTTTTCACAACTGGCTCCAGTTTTGGAATGGCAGTTCTCATTAGTTGAATGAAGAGAGGACTGGGATTCCATGACATTGTCCTGTGTCATTGACCTTAAGGAATGCTGCTGGCCCAATCCATGGAATTTCTCTGATGACCTTTGCAGTTTGTCTTTGAAAGTAAGACACAAGCAACTGCAGACCATCAAGGTCCCAATTCCTGTTCTTCTTGGTATGTCCTTAAACTGTTCTTTGTGATTTGTTTTCCTCTTGGACTGCTGCGTGGAAATACAATGTATAAACATCTGACCATGCCACAGGTCCCCTGACTTTGGGAACTCTTCTATTCCCATGAAGCCCTAAAAACAGAAATCCATGGATACTGGAAATCCTGGTTCCCTTTCCCAGTGGGTAGGATGGTAGTGGGACATCGTGATATGACCTTGGGACTGACTGGAGCAGTGACATGGGAATAGTCACAGCCCTTCCCCACAGGACAGTGATGGTGTAAAAACAGCCACACCTTGATTCCCCAGCAGTGATTTTTAAATTTTTTTATCATGCTGAGTATTTTATGCCATAAGGTAGGATCAAGACTTGAAAATCCCTATTGAGAGGAGAAATACTGAGCTTCAGAACACAAAAAATTCTGTGAAGAGAGCGAGTGTCATTTATGTGCTGTCAAAACACAAAGGACACTGTACAACCTCCTTTCTGCACTCTGCCTGGGCTCACACTGTATAATCCATGCACACAAATTTGGCACACAGCTCGTCCCACTCAGCAAAACACAGAGCAGCAACGCATGTTAGTGAGGGCCCCTACAAAGGAGTCATTATTTTTACAAGTAATTAAACTGCACTGTGCCAAATAAATTAATGCAGTGTGTTTTGTGATGCATTATCCTTGGGGGGAATTTATTGTTCTCTTGCTTGCTAATTTGCAGGACCCTCCATTTTACAATAATTCTCCCAGCCAGCATTGGGAAGGGGTGAAATTCTGCCATAATTAAGATACAATCATTAAAGAGCAGACATAAAACCTTCTCCGTTGTTGTTTTGCCTTGGTTTGTCTGCAAAGCAGCTTGATTCAGCTGCAGTGTAAATATTTTTCTCAAAAACTAATTTCACTATGACATTTTGAATTTCTCTTTATCTGATGAACTTTCCCTTCTCAGTTTTTGCAGTATTTCATGTAAAAAAAAAATAAAAGATGCTTCCTATGTAAGTTTTCCATCCCTGGAAGTATTCTGCTCTGTGGTGGCACTGTCTTTTCCTCCTCAGACAGGAAAGGTCCATGGGCTGGTTGTTTTGGAACCCAAAGAAGGAGCTGTCACAGAACCTGTGTAGGTCACCAGGGATCGAGTCAATAGCAGCATTCATTAATAAATATTCATATGAGCAAATAAATATTCATTATCAATAAGCATCCATCAATTGTATATCATTCCTGATGGGACTTTTTTTATCTGCAAGTTGAAAACTGTGCAGTAAACAGTCTTGCAGTACAAATGGAATAGGATAGTGCAGAAGTGCAGTAGTTTTATGGGGGTAAAATATATATATAAAGATTAATCTGTAAAGATAACTTTGGTAATGGCACACTTTGCAAAGCCTTTGAGTTTCAACTAATTCCAGAGCGAATGGTCTGTGGTTGGAGCCTGTTTCTCCCCAGTGATGGAGCTGGGTGATGCTGGCTCTGGAGAGGCAGCACAGCCATTAAACAGGCTGGTGGAGCTCCCTGAGCAGCTGGACAGCTGCAGGGTGCAGGAGTTGGTGTTTCCCAGTGCAGTCAGGGCAGTAACACAATCCCCTGCCAGCTCCATGTTCTGCAGGGCTCTTGCAGCAGTGGGGAAAATGGCTTCAAGGCACGGGAGCACGTGGGATTGCAGAGAGGCTGGAAGTGCTGCTTTGTAAAACATACAAACACTGACCTGGTTGCTGATTTTATTTCTGTCCAGTAACACTTCTCTCCCCAGCAAAGTATTTACTTGTACTTCCTTCACAGTTGAGAGTGATTTATGTCCTCTGAAAAAAGGAAGCAAGAGAAAAATAAAGCACATTAAAATTTTTTTAAATTGCATTTTTCTAATCTCTACAAAGGGTTGCAACAGTCTCTGAGTTTTTTACTGTAAACTTTTTTTTTACTTTTGCTGGTTTCTCTACTTTTTGCTTTAAAGTGTTTCTGCACGGCTCTGGGATTGCTCTTCCCTTCAGATTCCCTGGTAACAGTCAGCGGTCTCAATCCATGAAACTGTAAATTAGTAAAAGTCTGTATTCCCAAAGTTAAAATGATTTAATTAACACACATGAGGAATAACTCACTGGTGGCAGAAGGGTTTGGTGAATGTTTTTGAATCCATGATTATCACTTGCTATTGTTCTGATTTTACATAAGTAATTGGTGAAGTCTGTGCTGTAATCTCCATGGTGCCTCTCCAAAAAGGATGCTTTTTCAATGACTTTAGTTTTATAGCTAAGAACACTTTTCTGCTTTTCTGAGCCAGAGCTGCAAGAGGATTTGCCTTGTACGTCTTATTTTTTTTCACCCCAATTTAGCAGGGCCTTTAAGCAAGTGTTTAATTTCAGAAATACCCAGTTTATGTTCAGCAGAGTGTTTAGCATGATCTTAAAAACATGGTATACATACATTTTATTTCTGGCTAAGCAGATATCAGAGGCTGTAAGGTTTATTGAATTAGTGCTGATGTTTCTTCATCTGTTCTTCCACTACAAACCAAGCAACAAATCCATTTGATGGCTATTTGGGGAGCTAGGTTTGAGATATGGCTTGCTGTGGTGTGGCAGGAGAACAGTTGACCTTTCATCTGCAAGTGATGGCACAAGATTAATGTGTTAAGAGGGACTCAGAAGTGTTAGAAGGGCACTGGAAGAGGACTCAGAGTGAGATGTGTTGAGGAGGTGCTGTTTAGCTACAGACAGTAATCTGTCTGGAGCAGTGTGGGAGAGTCTACAGGGTCTAGTTTTGTGGTTGTAGGATTTTCAGTTGAAACTCCATCATTTAATAGCTTTAACATCATGATTAGAAAGATATTGAGGTGCTGTGGGTTTCTTCTGGCCACAGCAGAGGAGCAGACTGGGAGTGGGAGGATGGGGCAGCCAGGTGGAAACGTGGTGGAGCAGGAAGGGTTTGTGTTTCTCTCTTCCACCTACTCACCCCACATCAGGCTCCAACTTTTACTGACTTTGTGTTCCCACATCCCTGTGAAAACTTTTCATTCTTTGGCTCCCTCCTCTCCTTTGTTTTGTATGTAACCTTCTCTGAATACAGAAGAGAGAGAAGGCTTAGTCCATGTGATATTGATGTTTCTGTATTCCTACTTGGAAATTGTAGTCCTGGGAGATCATGGAAACAGGCCTGTGAGGATGAGAAAGAAGAGATTTAGAAGAGATTTGAGAATATTTGCCAGGATATAAGAAGAAATTATTTTCTTTCCCCCAGCAATCCTGATCTGGAAGTGTTCCCAAAAATTATAGGGGCCATAAGTGCTGGACAGCCTTGTATGGTTGGTAAGCGATTATGAGAGACCAACTCTGATTCCG